GTAGCTCATATATTCTACTGCATTCAACGCGATTGCTTTCCAGAAAACTGCTAGACGCACCAAGTAGGGAATTGATTCTTTTCACTTGTTCTTCTGGTCCAATCATAAAGGATGTTCCGGTGTCGATAATAGCAGAACAGATACTGCACACGTCCATCCCATCTATTTGAAAACTAATTGTACGTGAAAAACACTTGAAGATGAATTTCTGTTTGAACCATCTCACTTATCAATGTATTAACTAATATCTGTAATCTTTTATCATGAATAACACAGAAAGACAGAAAAGCATTCTTTCAAGGAGTTTTCTATGAATCAAATTCATTGGCTTAGCATAAGACATCTCTTTCCAAGTGATCTCATTGCTATAATCTGTCAAACATGTGATGCGACATAAAGTTCATCGGGATGAGGCTAGAAATAATTGGGAAGACTGAAACTCATCCTCATGAAACTGTTGCTAACTAACCAATATACTTCTAAATAACTTTTGTTCTCAAACATTGGATGAGATCAATACTAAATAAACTATGTCTAACTGCAAGCCTAGGCATAAACTGACAGTCAGTTCTCAATGTTAGCTTCAGCTACATTTGCACACTTTGGAAACTTTAGATATTAGCACCCAGTTTAATTGACTGAAACATTGTTACCTGATAATTGGTATTACCCACTCATATTCATCAACAGTGGGTATATATTCAAAATCGCCTTTGAAATATTTAGGATTGACGCCTCCAAGGACCATTTCACCGCCAATCTGTGAACCGTTCTCCCTATCAATAAATAAGGAACCTTCTATATAATTGTTGATACACCATTAGACTAGGTTACTCACATCAAATGTAGTCCATTGTGTATGCCGCGATCACACGTGATATAAGAATCAATCACAGGTTAGATTAAATTACTGTGTTAACGGATCTTTTAAGGATGCCATGTAAATGGTCTCTCCGTTGCAGTTAGAAATAGTTATGTTTGTTCTGTGTTGAAAAACATGTAAAACACGATTCTCATCAGTCAATAAAATTATTATTCGCAAACTGAATGATAACACAGAATTCAATTAAAAGTAATGTTCATACATACAAAAACTGTTTAAAAATTTATGCGACCAGATTTTTAGGTGAGTCGGATTGACTTCTAGAATGCTAAGTCATATAATATTGATTAGCACATCAACCACTGATCTTACATTTTAGTGTGGGAATTTAATTGTATGATGCTTTATGGAAAACCAGTGATAACTATAAAACTTGTCTTCAATGATGTTTTGAATTGAATAAATCACTATATCAGTGTCAATGTAAAAAGGAATATTTTCCCCATTCGGACTTTGTGTTATCTATTACCTGGTCCAAAGTTACAAATAATCTTATTTCTCAAAATCAAGACTCGAGATACTTCATTTAGTGCAGTTCAAACAAACGTTGAACATCAGACGACAAAACATTTGACATCAAATCTTGTACTTTGAAATGATTTAATTTCATATACAAAATAGTACTACTCACAGATCTATTAACACAATTACACTACAGTATACTGACTAAATTATTAGAGTTTAGGCTAACCAGTGATTATTTTTAGTTTACAAAGTAAAAATACGAGGACTATATCAGAGTTTGTCACTCATTTCCAAGTTGCATTGAATTATTCAATAAATATGCTCTAACTCTGCAGTTTAAGTAATCTGTGCTCAAAAAGCAACCTCATGAATCAGATATCTAATCTCATAAAAATTTCAGTGGCATAAATAATGTGTTCGATAAATTGATAACGAAATATCTCTGAAAGATTCTCATTATCATTGGTAAGAGATCAAGCAAAGTTTCAGTTATATTCATCATGAACTGAGAAGGTTCAATGCACAATACTGGATCCATATTCACATAATTGGACAGTATATTTGGAAACATTGGAATATATTCGTAAGGTGATATTCGAGTACTCGACATACCAACTACTCCATCAAATCCGTAATCGAAGTAATTTGAGCTAAATATGTTTGTCATTTCAGCAAACGCTTGTCTTGGTATAACTAACGAATTTATCTGAAAGTGAACTTTATTTTGAAATGTTCTGAAACGTTACCCGTATGGTATCGACACTCCAAAATCCAGAGAAATTACCATCCAGATAACTCACATGAAAATTGGAACCATCTGCTTCATATGTGGATGATTTTGAGCTGTCATAGAATGAAAACATCCAACAAAGTATGTCGAGAAACCAACACTTTCTTGAAGCTAGCCATGTGTTTGTTGAACCCGTGTCGAACAGAACACGAAGCTTCTGAGGTGGAGTTCCCACTGATATCTCACCACAGTAATGAAGCTTAACGAAGAGATCATTGTTATCAAAAGGTCAAACAGTGTGAAACGGAGTAAATGAAAATTTATCGAGTGTTCATTTGTAACAATATGTAAATATTTTCTCCCTTGATTAAAATCACTACATTCATCATATATACGTGACAACTGCCTAGCTGATAAAGAATGAATACGATTTGTTCTATCACATTCCTGTTACTAGTGGAACAGCGTACTTGCAAATTCAAATTTTCAGTTACTGGGTCACCTTCTCCACTTCACACGTATACAACAATAAATATTCATCTGAGTGCTTTTGTGATAAATGTGATTGAAAGCAAAGTAAATCGAAGTAGAAAGTACGATTATTATACTTAAATTGTGATAATTGATGAGTTTTTCCGACACAGAGATTTTTCACCTGTTCTCTTCATTCATCCATTTTCTCACCGATGGCACAAAGTAATTCGAAAGAATTCTAGGCCAAATACTAGAGACACCTTGAAAATTTCACTCAGTGAATATGGCAGTGAAATGAGAATGATCAATCGAATCACTGAGGTATACTCAAAAAAAGATGAGCACTAACGCAGGTGTAATTTCTTATTTTATTCCTATTTTATTGACGCAGACGCACCTAATGAACTCGTAGATTGATAAGCAAACAAACTAGTTTATTGGTTGTAACCCGGACCTTCTTACATCAGTGCAAATATTAGTGCATGCGTTATTTACTACCAGTACTTCTTAAATTTCATGATAATCTGTTGCATTTTGAGTGATGATTGTTTAAAAGCGGAGATAGGTTACTATTTCAGTAATTTATGGAATGCGAAATACGAAGTGTGTGCACGAATAAAGACGCACTGCAAAGAAATTATGTGATAACCCTCAAACCTCAGTGTCGCATGACGTGATTCGCCACAATTATGTAACCTTTTCTTCACTGTTAGATTTTCTCTCATCATCACGATGTCGGATTCAGTTAAGATGTGCCGTATTTGCATTTTCGGCTGAAGGGTCGAACAACTGGATAATCATCGATTGATGAACTGACCAAAGTCTATGATCAATTAGACATAATGACTGGCAATAATTGTTGTAGATGAAATTCGCCATCAAACACCTCTATCTCCAGCAGTAAAATTTTGTATTGCCGAAATGGTGAATGCTTTGAAATTCGACTTTACATTGTGCGTTTCTGATTCCATACAGAATTGTGACTGTTATTAAATCAACTTTCCACTAAATTACGCTGTGGATTATCGAGTTAATTATCTGATGCAGTATGAAGCTTTCGCTAATGTAGATAATTTTAATTTTACTTTGATCGATTTACATTTCATCGTTCATTCGGCGAAGACAAATGTTAATAAACACTTGTATCGTCTGGATGATGCCTTTCGTAGTTCTCCAAGTTTCCGCTCCATACGGTAGAACTGTCTCGACATTTGTATTGAAAATCCTGATTTTGGTTTTGGTTGAAAGTTGTTTGGAGTTCCAGATATTCTTCTATTGTAGAAATGCAGCCCTTGCTTGGCCGATCCGCGCCCTCACATCTGCATTGGATCCACCTTTCTCGTCGATGATGCTGCCAAGATATGTGAAGGTGTTAATGTCATCCAAGGCATCTTCATCAAGATTGATTAAGTTGGTGCATGTTGTGCTGCATAGGAGAATTTTGCTTTTTCCTTTATGTATGTTGAGACCTACTGCTGCAGAGGCTGATGCTACACTTGTCATCTTCTCTTGCATTTGTTGTTGCGTGTGCGATAGAAGAGCCAGGTCATCTGCGAAGTCCAGATCGTCCAGGTGCGTCCTAACTGTCCAGTTGATACCGTGCTTCCCTCCAGATGTTGACGTCTTCATAATCCAGTCAATCACCAGGAGAAAGAGAAATTGTGAGAGCAAGCAACCTTGCCTCACACCGGTCCTCACCTCGAAAGAGTCGGTTAGCTGTCCTTCGTCTACCATTTTTCAGTTGAATCCATCATACGAATTCCGTATGGTGTTAACTACTTTCTGAGGCACACCGTAGTGTCGAAGAAGAGTCCACAGTGTTTTCCTATCCACGCTATCGAATGCTTTCTCGTAGTCAATGAAGTTGATGTAAAGTGGTGAGTCCCATTCAATCGATTGTTCCACAATGATCCGTAATGTAGCAATTTGGTCAGTACATGATCGATCCTCATGAAATCCGGCCTGTTGATCTCGAAGTTGGGCATCTACGAAGTCCTTCATTCTGTTTAACAATACCCTGTGGAAGACTTTTCCTGGTATAGAAAGAAGAGTGATGCCTGTGTAGTTCTCACACTTGCTGAGATCGCCTTTCTTTGGTATTTTGATCGGGTATCCTTCTTTCCAATCTGATGGTACTTGTTCCTCATCCCAAATCTTCTTGAAGAGGATGTGAAATATTTTCGCAGTTGCTTCTTCATTGCCTCTGCTGGAATGTTGTCTGGTCCTGCTGCTTTGCCGCTCTTGATTTGTCTGATGGCCATACTGATCCTATCAATCGTAGGTGCGCCAATATTAATTGGGAGGTCTGTGGATGCTGCTTCGATGTTGGATGGGTTCAGTGGAGCTGGTCGATTCAAGAGTTCCTGAAAGTTCTCTACCCCCCTATTTCGCTGTTATTCAGTGTTGCTGATTACTTTGCCCTCCTTGCTTTTCACTGGTCGTTCTGGCTTACGATAGTTCCCGGCGAGCTTCTCTGCTGTTTCGTCTGTCATAGAATGAAAACATCCAACAGAATATATCGAGAAACCAACACTTCCTTGAGGCTAGCCAAGTGTCCGTTGATCCTGTGTCGAACAGTACACGAAGCTTTTGAGGTGGAGTTCCCACAGTTATCTCTCCATAATATTGAAACTTAGCAAAGAGATCATTATTATCCAATAGTCAAACAGTGTGAAACAGAGTAAATGCAAATAAATCTATTGTTTACGGGTAACACTATGTAAATATTTTCTCTCTTGAATACGTTCCCTACATTTATCATGCATACGTGACAGCTGTCTAGCTGATAGAGAATGAATACTTGTTCTGTCACATTCCTGTTACCAGTGGAACATCGTAGGTGCAACATTCAAAATTTCAAATGCTGTGTCACTTTTTCATTAGTTTTTACCAATGCGAAAGAAATAAACGAATCCGAGTCATTTCACAAGCATGATTTTGACTTCACAACAAAAAATAAAAATCTATCTGACAGCTTTAGAGATGTATGTGAGTCAAAAACAAATGAATTAAATACGTTCACTATACTTACATTTTTATAATTAATTAGTCGTTCCGACGTAGCCGTTGTCCACATTTTCCCTTCACTCATCCATTTTCTTGTCGATGGCACAAAGTAATTTGAATGAATTCCAGACCAAATACTACTTCTTTTAACCGGGTATAGAGACACCTTAAAAATTTCGCCAAGTGAATATGGAAGTGAAATGAGAATGATCAATCGAATCATTGGGTTATCCTCTCACAAACGGATGAGCGATGATGCTAGTGTGATTTCTCAATTTCTTCTATATGTTTTATTGACCCAGATACATCCAATGAACTTGTAGATTGTTAAACAAACAAACTAATATATTGGTTGTAACCTGATTTGCCACTACTATATAACCAATTTCTTCACTGTTAGATTTTCTCTTATCATCACGATGTCAAATTCAGGTGACGTGTGCCTAATTTGTATTATCTCCTGAAGAGGCGGACAACTGGACAATCATCGACAGATGAATTGAACAACGTTTATGATCAACGAGTCATACTGACTGGCAATAATTGTTGAAGATGACGCCCTTCAGCCATGCAATCAGCTCTCCGAATGATCGGAAACATTATTTACAATATCACTTTTTATTTTTTTTAATAGTTCATTATATGGACAATTATATTTTACACACCACGAAGTTATCTTTTCATGTGAATGTCTGCGTGTAAACGAATACAGCATACAAAATTAGTAACTCAAAGAGACCTCTTCCTTGATTCTTATTTTGTTGACAAATGTTGAAGTAAACAATATACTGTTGAAAAATATTGATAATGTTAAAATTGTGGGGTAAAGATGTCATTCTCAATGTTCATTATCTTCAAATTATATACCTAACTGGCAATTCAGTTTTACGAGTAGTAGGATTATGTTTACAAAAATTACAATTGAATGTGTGATCGAAAATGAAGGTTCACACAAACACCTATCAAGAATGTACATATGCGTATAAATTTTACACTGAGTACGAGTTAGAGCAAAGGAAAAGACCCATGGCAAGAATATGTTGTTGTCGATTTGAATCTCCATCCGACAACTGTTTCGGGCACTTAACAGAGTGATTAAATGAACCTACTGGATGCTTTGACATTGCAAGCCAACCCACACAGATCTTATTCTCAACTAAATTAGCAACATTCCATGAACTTACAAAATCAACTACATTCAACCTTTATTTGAGTGAGCAAAAGCACACTTCACAGGCCAACATGAGTAATCTCCATCGCTTTCCAGAGGCTCGGACGCATGTTTTTCCATTGAAATGCAGTCATTCTATCCTAGTTAGTGCTTCACGACACGAGGATAAGCGAACAACAACAATAATATTTCTAGGCGCATCAATGACGGTGCCAAGCTGGAGTGTTATGACTTTCGTACCACCTCGGACAACACCTCAACAGCACAATATGTCTTCATCTAGAATATCGCCGACTTTGTCGTTACCGCTTCCAACTGTTATTTCTATTTTAAATCACATGACTAGAGCTTTCTTTCATCAGTAGATCATCAGGATATGGTCTTTTTTCCCACTGGTTAAGCTGGTCATTTGTGCTTAGTCTTAATCAGTAATGTGGGACCAAATGTGCCTCAAAAAGTTGCCTCATTTCAGAGTGCTGATCATTTTATAATTAACATTCTACCTAAGGTAGGGCCATACTTGATATAAGGGTGCTCTCACATTAGATAACGAAAGTTAAATATAGAAATATAAATATGAATTTAAATATCCGAAGTCTAGAAATCTTGTTTGTAAGTCAGTCTGAGATTTATTTACAAACGACTTTTAGGAAAACCCAAGATATTTTCATTTGTGTACTTAAGTTCTACTTCGATGTTTCTACTCCCACTGTAATCATTCTTGTAAGTTTTGACCAAATTACATAACCACAACTAAAATTATTATGTACGTAGCAAGACAATGTGCACAAAGTAAAGCCTAATGCTTTGACAATTCAAGGAATTAGACACGTAAAAAGGAAACTAGACACATGTTTACCCAGAAATTTCCATCTCGTCAAAACTCATCTGATAAAGGTAATTCATTCTAAATACACACCTATGGGAGACCCGTTTGTGACGACGCTAAGCATGATTTTTGTCACTTGGATACGTCTTCTATACAGTGGTTATCTGATTAAATACCTACTATATAGATAAGTATGATTATGACTTGTGTCTCAATCTTCTCTGTAAATGATGTCGGAAGATGTCATCAGTAACTAGAATCATTTCCACGTTTACTACATGACGAGTTACCCGAACCTGCTTCTTCAGAAATATGCTGATGTCCCTTGTTCAAAATTTAGATTTGTAGCCATAACTTGGCTTCTTCTAGAAACGAGTGGGAATTTATTGTTACCCCCACTTCCACGTGCACTAAATGAGCACATCAGTCTACTTGTAAGTACAAAAATATACCTTCCTATTGATTCAGTAAGATGTGACTATATGCTTCTCATTGTGTTTTCAAGATCCACTAACTTCTACAGAAAAATCTTTCGTTCAATGTGAATATGATCTCACAGCATGTACACTGATTTCTGCCTCTTCACATTCCTTTGCAGTGCAGGAGTTCTTCTCAATCATTGTTAATGATCTGACACTTAAACGTTTTAAATCTCAAACTATTATTTCAGCCTTATGTCACTAAAAGCAGTTAGACAACCTGTTGAATTACCATGAAGTTCAACACTATTTTAGATTCTGCAATAAAAGCAATGCTGAAAGTCATCTATCTGTATGCCAATGTTTCTTATGATCACTCTTGGTCTTTACATATTTTATTGGCATTGGAATTTCTATTTGACCCATTATATGAAGATCATGAGTGACAATATCATTCTTTGTCTTCTTTTGCAACTTGTAAACTCTTGTATATGATGTATGATACTCTACTATTCAACAATTTTCTTTCAGGCTTCTAAGAAATGAGTTTGCTGTATTGCGTAAAACGTTGAAAACAGTTGGCAGTGTGTATGATCAATGATTTTTAAGTCGCCTTATAATATGGTTGTTAGCAAACAGTTAAATTCTTTCCTGGTTCCGAAGTTCAATTATTTATTTTATGTCTAGTTTTATGCAGTAATCTACTGATTCTTATTTACTTTTGCAAACGAAACTTGCTGTAATACCTTGTGTCGATAGTTTTATAATTCCATTAACATACATAACTGAATAATGACGTTACTAATAAAAGCAATTGGACTATTTGATGAATAAACATTTTAAAAAATGTAAACAATAATTTCAGACATTAATTTCATGATTGACTGCGTTCTGTTTATTCACACTGTTACAAGAATAATATTGTAACTATAAATGTGGATGAGTTGTATCATTTAATATTGCATTCAGTGAATGCAAATGTATTACTTTGCAATAAAAGTGCTGATTTCTAATGAAATTCAGTTTTAAATGCTGTGTGTAAGTTAGACAGTAAAAAATGAATTAACAACTTTTCAACAAAGGAAACTTGACACGAACAGTAAAGGCACAAATACAAAACTAGAAAATACTGATAGTATTGAGCATTATAATCGTCATCTACAATTACTTCGAAATACGAAGTCTTACCATCTTGAGGTGTGACAATTCTTAGGGTCGACCCTAACACTTCCTTCCTTGTGAGAAGGCAGCATCGCTACAGATGCTGGTTGTTCGAAGGAAACACCTTACTGTTGTCATACCCCTCTGCAGTCAGCAGTACGACTTTGCCCTCAGACCTTGAGTAGCTGTGAACATTATTAATGAGACTCACATAAGAATGGTCATCTACATACATAAGAATAATAGGTCTTACGCATGTTTCGTAGAGAACTGTTCTGGATTCTCACTGAAGGAAGTTTCGAAAGACGAAATCAAGCATTCTTCTCATTTCAGAAACTTTATTGGAGATATGTTCAGAGAAGTTAAGGCTGTGTGAATGATGCACTCCAAAATCAGTTACGGATGTAAGTTTGGGCAAAACATTCCTTTTGAAAGTGAGATCTATTTTGGGAGATGTGTCTCCGAAACACATCAAGCCACATTTATCAGTATTAATTTTCAAGTTCCATTGCTTACATCAGACATCTACAGCATTGAGTTCATACTGGGTTGCATGCAACAAATTTCGTAAGTCAGATTTGTTAGTTTGTTAGGTCATCAGCAAAGAGGTAGGTTTTACCAGTGTTGAAACAACTGCATATGCTGTTGATGTAGATAATGAAAAGCAGTGGACCCAAAACGCTGCCGTGCACAACACCACTGATAATTGGTCGAGGTGTAAATGTATTAGAGTTGACTTTGGTAATCTGATATCTACTTCTGAGGAACGACCTAATCCAGGATTCTCGAAGGACCGAAGTCCGTTGATTAGGACATTGTAAGTAACCTTATCGAGAGCTTTTATTATGTCAAAATACAACACGAGTTCTAGTTGCTTTTGATAGCGTGTGCTCGTAAACTCACTAAAAACATCTAACAGACATGTGATACATGACCTAGTTCTAATGAAGCCATGTTGTTAGGGGTCAATGTGACCTTTCCTGAGTAAATGATCAGAAAGTTATTCTTTTGTCACTTTCACCATTACACGTGATATATATGGGCTGATATTGTCAGGTCTGTAGGTTTGGATCAAATCTTTCGCTCCAGGTTTATGTACTGGAACAATATATGTCAACTTCCACGATTCAGGGTATATACCAGACTCAAGGGGTAACTTAAAAGTTTCGAACAAAAGCGCTGGAAGTTTTGGTCCTGCCATTTTAAAAAATATGGAAGGTATCTCATCCGCACCACAGGCACTTTATTAAGAACAGTATCACTAAACATTTCTGCTTTGATGTTTCTAGATACATAGATGAGACAACTACCACACTGTTTAGATCCTCGGCAATCGCGAAAGAGATCATAGGAGTCTATTAGAAGGTATGAGTCAGGGACATCGTAGGGCAATCAGCTTTCTGTAATCCGGACAATCAAAGGATTGTTTAGAGTTACCAGAGAGCGTGAATAGATCATCTTATTGATAACAGATCGATAATTAACTAGCATTAGTGTTACATAGGATAAATACTCATCTTTCGGGGAAGCACAATGGACATCTGGAGGGTTGTATGTTGTATGTTCGGAAGATGGACTGGAAGTAGGATTATATACTTGATAGTTATGGTCAGTTGATTTGTGAGCAATATAGTCAGAGGGAG